GGCAAGGATGAGGGAAGTATCAGTACAAGCCATGCTATGTACAATATGGCATTTATCTGTAGTATAAATAGAACAGTTGCTGAATTAAGGAGCTTTTAGTGGAAAAAACTTGTACCTTCTGTGTTGCTGCTCCTGCTTCTAGAACAGCATTCTTCTCAAGGTCCATGTGACCCTGACCTTCAGGTAGGCCTCAAAGACCTGACTGTTTCAGCAAGCATTGTATCAGGGTGATTTGTGAATTAACTGGTTTAGTTTGGGTTTTAAGTTTTCATACTCTCTGGATGGTTGTCTGTTATGTTTATTCTTATCTTATTGTTGCATTGTTATAAAATAAAAACAGTAACAACTTAATAAATAAACAGAGCTGAATCAGTGCAACTGCAGTGTACAAAAGCCTTCATTTAATTTATTACAGCAATAAGGAGAACATATTTAGGCATTACCTTTAATCTGATCATCTTTTTCAGTTATTCTTTGCTGAGCTTTTCTGAATACTCTAAGATGAGTAGTAAAATCATCTACAATTCGAGTAGTAAAATAAGGCTGCCAATCTATTTCTTTTGTCCTTAAAAATTAAAAAAAAATGACAATATATTACATAGCAGGCTTCTAGTACAATTTTATACTTTATTTCTTTGATCCCAACTGGTTTATTTCCTAGACTACAGCTTATGCTTTTGTGTGTTTAAAATAATCAATTGGTAAAGGAAAGTAGCATTATGCACTGCCAGTACTTAAAACAGCACTCCCTAAAACAGAAGATTAGCTAGTGCAAAATATACAACAAAATGTTTAGTATCAAAAATTGTAGTTTATAAAGTCTGTGATATGATGAACAAACCAATCAATCTTTAAGTGTAATATATAGAATTACAATTGCAAGAATAAGAATTCAAGATATAGAACAACTTTTTAATAACATAATGATAAGGATTAGTAATATAACTGTAAAACATTAGGTCTAACTATAGGATTGCATTACTGATATTAAAACTGAAATATGGCAATGTAGCATGAATAAAAAGAGAAGAATAAAGTAAATGAAGTGTAACAAAAATAGTCAGCAGATCAAAAAATCTAGGCAATCTTGTGATCTTCTCATAAATTTCATGATATAAGCAATTCACTGATAGTATAAGCTGGCTAAATGAAATTACAGAAAATTGAATTTAAGGTATAGAATAACTGAATAATATCAATATCATAAGAATTACTAACAAAAAACTGTAAAACCTGACCACTAAAATCTAACTATAACCATGGTACTTAGTACTAAGATTAGGACCATAAATATTGGCATATAAATAACAGTGGTGAAGTTAAATCTAAGCCATCTAAAAATCCACTTTTATAGCACCTGTGATATCATTAGTTTCCTAAAAGCCACACTCCCAGAGACAAATTTTGCCACTTTATAGATAGTGTCTAGGTTTACATGTGATAAAATAAGGTTGCCATAAAAGGTGTCAGTTCTACACGAATATTTATTTAGCAGACCTGTTATGAGTAAATGCTGGGAGTTCCTGCAGAAAGAACAGTACAATAATAGATATGCCAGGGACTCAGCAAATCCAGAAAAGCATGGACATCAGCATTTATCATATGTGACACCAGTGAATCTGCCTTGCATAACTGCAAAAAGTAAGGTACTTAAATGGACAAAAGGAGAGGAAAGCTGATGCTTTGAGAAAAGATCACTAAAAATATAAGACAGGATGAAAATTTTAGTTTGATTTATGACTGTACAAATAACAGGTACTTTTCTGCTAAGAGCATTTTGTTTATTGATATCTCATAGATAATGTTTTACAGTTTCTTTGGCTTTTGCATATCCAAATGTCATACAAAAGAGAGAAACGTCACATTTTGATCCCAGTGAAATTATCTAGCTGGAATGATATTGATCATAAAGACTTAAGGGTGTTAAGGCTTCTGGACAATATATCAGCTTCAGCCAATACATAAATCTGCTTTGCCAAAGCCAGGCTTCTAAGAAATAAAGCCAACTTCAATTTGCAGTGAAGCATTTGGAACACAACAGAGAATATCAAATACAATGGTACCTCGGTTCACGAACTTAATTCATTCCGTGACTCTGGTCACGAACCGAATTGGTCGTGAACCGAATCAAATTTTCCCATAAGGTTCAATGTAATTACGGTTAATCCGTTCTGAACCATATGTTTGTTTGTTTTTTTAAACCGCAAAAATATGACACAAAGTACAGCACGAAGAGAGGGAAAGCTAACCTTGCTCGACGTGACTTCTGGCATGGAGGACAGGAAGGCGGGTGGGGAGGGGGTTACTGCTTGGAGGGAGAGTCCCCCTCCCTATAGGAAGCCACGACCATGTGTCACGGGAGGGAAAATGGCCGCGGATCCTGTTCGTAACCCGATCCGGCGTTCGCGAACAGAGGCAAAATTTTGCAAACGGAGCTGTTCGTGAACCGAATTGTTCGTGAACAGAAGCGTTCGTGAACCGAGGTACCACTGTATTGCCCTCAAAAATGTTTCAAAATGATGAAGGTCTTCCTGATTATAGGTGCATGTCTTGCACTATAAAGAAGCTGGGCAATTGTTTTCCTCTGGAAAATCTAGAAGGCTGAGGGTATAAATTGGCCACCCACGTGATTTAAAAAACAAAAAACCTACCAAACCTTAAGTGGCCAATGCTGTGGCATGAAGGGTTTGAGCATTCTATCTCCCCAAATCCTAATATACAACCTCCAGATAGTTATATTACCTCACTGCTCAATAACACAGCAACTAATCTGCCATTTATATTGTTTGGTAAAACAATGGTAAAACTGTTTTTTTAAAAAAAAAAAAAAAGATTTTAT